GGTTTGGTATTCAACTTTCCTACTCGCCGATACTGCCAAATGGTCTTGGCTTGGCCGAATGGTAGCGGAAATGGCAGGCAGCGATTGATGAAGTCGCCATCACCCTATCCTTCCGGCACTCTTCCGGCACCCTTCCGAACCCCAGGCAGTGGCTGGAGGAGAAGGCCCGCAATCGCTACTTAGAGCAGCGCAACGCGGACACGGCCATTTACGAGGTGGAGGTCAAGACCGGCAAGATGAAGGTAGAGCTGGGAAGAGCGGGGCGGGAGGAACGTACCTTGCTGGGAAGAGCGGGGCAACATGCGCTGCCTTCTAAGCCTTCTAGGCTGGAGATACATCTTAGGGTGGATGGAATGTGTGTGGAATCCTTGGGTATACTGTAAGAAGGGTTCAGCTCCCTTGACATCTCCCTGAGTACTCTTTGCCTGGTGTTACATACACGAAGGACTTGGGGACGCTTTAGTCGTCCCAACACCCAATATCCGCTCCACTCCCGGCTTCCCACTACGGGAGCATGTTTTGCTAATCAGCGTTGATAACACCCAGGTAACATCTGACTTGTTATTGATTTTGCCTTCTCCCCTGTCCCCGCCTCCCGACTCGAACACCTTGCCCGAAACCCCTTTCCCTCCTTCACTCGTCTGTGGTTCGTCTTCGTCTTCCCCCTTCCCCGCGACCAGGGCGCCTCGACCGATGCGCGCGTGTACCTGGAGATGTACGACCCCCACGAGGAGGGGCATACCTCCGGGGAGCTGCGACTGCTGGACAAGGACACGCACGTCAAGCCATTTGGCCGGGGTGCACTGGACCTCTTCCTGGTATGCTGCGGGACCCGCCGGGGGAAGGGGAAACCTGCAGTACATGGTGCTACCAAACTCAAAGAGACAGCTGCCGACGTCCAACTGCCGACGTTCCCCAGCGTGTCGCCGCAGGGGAGGAGGCCGAGAGAGGGCGGGAGGGAGAGAATGGGCCATGAGTTGCTTCTGTGGTTTAGGAAAAGAAAGCCTGGGGTGGGAATGGGATGTTAGGGCGTGGCCTGGAGCATGGCTTTAGGGGGCCGGGGATGGAGAGGAAACGTATGTGCGAGGTGATTCGAATGAGGCCCGGATGCAAACCAGCATGCAAACGGCTGGAGATGATGGAGGCGGTTGGTGGCGTGACCTGCGCGCACCACTTCCCCCCGTAACTTAACTTGCTCGGAGCATATTTCGGCGCTCGTCAACACACCTGGCGAAACCTGGTAGCTTTCAGAAATGCAAAACCGTGTGTTCCATCACGCCATCACCACCACCACCACCGCCAACAATATAACTCTATAAACAACATCAACAACTCACCCGCAGATTCCCTGTCGCAACGTGGGCTTGCCTAAGCGCATCAAGGTGTGGCACGACAACACCGGCCGCCGTCCCGACTGGTTCCTGGAGTACATCCGCATCCGCAAGAAGGGCGCCATCAACTGGACCGTGTTTCCCTGCCAGCGCTGGTTCTCCACACACCTGGACGACTGCCGGATCAGCCGAATACTTTTCGCAGGACATGCGACGCCCTACATCCAGTACAAGGTGATTGGACTTGCGCGTTTTTGGGCGTCTCTCTATGTGCTTGTGTGCGTGTGTGTATCTCTGCGGGTTGGATGCGTGGCTGTCTTTATGAGCTCATAGACATGTGTACGCACTCTGCTCCGCCTAATTGCCTCCTTACGTTCCTGCCTGCTTTGCCGCTGTATCGTCCACTTCTGTATGTGTGTGCTCGCGTGTGGATTGCCTTATTTTCCGATGGCCTTAACCGTGCACCTCCACCCCGCAATGTTTGCTGTCGTTCTTCGTGCCGGCTTCTTGCCACGGCCGCGGTCAACACACGCTGTCGGAACACCGCCTCGCTGACTCATCCGCCAGGTGGTGACGTACACCTCCGACATCCGCGGCGCCGGCACCGACGCCAACGTGCACTTCATCATGCACGGCACGTTGGGTGACGGCGCCCGGCACATTCTGTCCAGCGGAGCTGACGACTTCGAGCGGTGAGCGCGCATGTGTGTGGCGACCGCACGTTGCAACCTCGCCTGGTACATACAACCTCCGTTGCCTCCGGGTGCTGCTGTTGGTTGTGTGGTTTGGGGTTGTGGGGACTTCGGATCGCGTAGCCCACGCACCTACATGGCGCGTATTTCACGCGGTATGGCGGTGAGATCTGGGTGGACAATATACCGACGCTGAGATCTGGGTGATATGGGGGGGTGGGCTGCCTGTTCCCCCGACGTCGCATTTTCACGTTCCTTAGGCCCGTGGTTTTAGATCGTTCCAGGGCGGCCCCCTCACTTCACCTTGGCCCGCTTCACCTGCCTTTACCTCTTTCCTCCGCCTTTCCTTGTCTTTGGTCAGGGGCATGGTGAACGACTTCATCATCGACGACGAGGACCTGGGTGACTTGTTGGAGGTAGGGTTTTGTGTGCGGGCCCCCCCTGGAGGGACTTCTTGGTGACTTGGGGTGGGGTGGGGTGGCCTGCATGAGTGAGAGTGGAGCTGCGGAGCTGAGGAAGCACGCGAGTTGATGGGGAGGGTAGTCAGCAGGGGGTGAAGTGGGTAGAGTTAAGAGGGGTGCATGTATGTAAGTATGTATGATGTGTGGGACAGGGGGGCATATCTTCACCCGTGGCCGCTAGCCGGCGAAACCCTGCCTTCCCCGGTATTTCGGGGCACCCTCATCCAGTCACCCTAGCCGACGTCTCAGTGGATCGCTCTGGTTCAGCACCCACCACCGGCACCCAACTGAATTCGCCGGATCAACGGTGGCTAAACTTCATTCCTGGTCAGCTCCTAGGTCAACTTTATCCCCGGTCATCACCGCCCATCGACTAGGGGCATTCTTACCTTCCACCATGGGAAGTATGGATTTTCGACCCTGACAGGTCTCGATCCTGGAACCTCCGGGGGCATCGGTGTGTGCGTTACCAGTAGTGCCTGAACTTGTATGCATATATGTATGTATGTATGTGTTGCTAACCCTTTTCGCCGCTGCCGCCACCGCCACTTACTTCACCGCCTCTGCCTTCGTCGCCTCCCCCTTCTTCCCCGCTGCCACTACGCAGATCACCATCGGCCACGACAACACGGGCCAGGGCGCCAGCTGGCACCTGGACCACGTAACGGTGACCAACCTAAAGACCAACGTCACGTACCTGTTCCCCTGCCGCATGTGGTTCGACACGCGGGTGGGCGACGGAGCCCTGGAGAGAACCCTGCAGGCGGCGGAGTGAGTGCGGGCATGTGATGACTGGGCTGGGTACTTGCCTGTCTGCCTGAAATGTTCGAAGAGAAGGCGAGCACGGGAAAGGGGGTATAGTAGAAACGGAGCTGGTGAGTGGCAACGCGGCAGGGAGGATGTATGAGCCAGCCATTACTCACAGCCAGCCACAACTCACCCATTCCGCCCACCCTTCTCCACCCCGCCCTCCCTTCCCCCTGTTTCCCATCCAACCCCGTGCTAACCCCCTGGTTGTTGTCTCGGGCCGCCCTCGTTTCCCCGTAGCTCCCTGCTGCGTATGGCCGCCTACGTGTTCTACGTGTACACCAGTGACATCCGGGGCGCAGGGACGGACGGTAAGGACCACCGGTTGGGGGCCCCGAGGGGCACTGAGGGACGAGCGTTAGCCAGCCAGCTGTCTGCAGCGCCACACGCTTGTTAAGGTGCTCCTGCTGCTGCTGCTGCTGCTGCTGTTGTTGTTGTTGTTGTTGTTCCTGTGGTACGCATACCGTCTCAGGGTTTGTGCGTTGCGTTTGGAGATTCGTGCATGCTGATCGTTTTTCCGGGGTATACTGTGTTTTTTCTGTTTTTTTTCCTGGGATTCTGCGAGAACGTGCAGTTGGCATTGGCATCTAATGGACCTTTCTGTCCAGGGGGCTCGAGATCCAAGGTCCAAAAGAGGGGGGGAATTCCCGGTTAGGGGGATGAAGGATAAAGGTTTTTGAATCTGCCACAAAATCTGCACGTCTTTGCCCTCTTTGCTTCCACCCATCTTCTGCCACTGCCCACCAGCCGACGTGTTTGTCGTACTGCACGGCGAGCACGGCGACACGCCCGCCACGGTCCTTCCTTCCCAGCTGGAGCACTTTGAGCGGGGCCAGGCCGACGTGTTCAGGTAAGAGGGGCGTGCTAAGGGTTGGGGCAGAGAGGAGGAAAAAGTGAGAGGAAGGGCGTGCACGTGGGTAAGTTAACACATGGGTCGCGAACATGTGATGGGGTTGCGAACGAGCGGATGTGGGAATGAAGCATGACTGTCGCGCTGGTGTGGGGGTATCCACTGCCCGGCCTTGATCCCCCATCCATCCAACCACTCACACGCATACACACACACACACTCTCTCTCTCTCTCACACACACACTCACTCTCTCTCACACACACACACACACACACAACACACACACACATACACTCTCTCTCACTCACACAACCAGGCTTGAGCTGCCCTACGTGGGCAAGCTGCGCGCCCTGACTATCGGCCACAACAACAAGGGCGACAGTCCCGACTGGCACCTCATGATGGTGGAAGTTGTGGAGGAGCCGGACCCACACCTACACGAGGAAGACGAGGACGACAAGTCGCCGGTGCGAGGTCGGCTTGCCGCCCTGTTCCCCCCCTCACCGTCGCGGCCGTCGCCTTCGCCGCCACCGCCGCCACCGATTACGCGCTTCGTGTGCAATAAGTGGATCGGTCTGGGCCATCCCGACCCGGATAGCGGCGCACCGGAGGGGGTGCTGCAGCGCACGTTGAAGCCTGGTGGTGAAGACCCCCGGTTGGAGATGACGGACTACCGGGTAAGACCATCTATCCGTGGGTCGGATAAAAATGTGGAACAGTATACAATAACAATATTTTGACAATCCTGTGTTGCTAATGTATACTGCTCCATGTCTCCGTGGGGAGAGGAGAAAAGTTATTTTAATGCCGGTGTATATCCATCCCTTGTGCCAGAATCCGAACTCAGCAGGAAAAGGGGAGGGGGGAAAAGGGAATGTGCCATGCGAGCCGTCATGCCCGCGCCATACGTGTGCATGCCGTGTGTCATGACGCAGTACATTAGCACACAACGGAAATTGCGCTCCGTGTAGATAGCGCAAATCAAAATTTCCTCATGCTGTCGCTGCTGGCCCATCCTGCAGCTGGAGTTCCACACAGGCGATGTGCGTGGCGCGGGCACTGACGCCACCGTCAGCTTCGTGCTCACGGGCGAGCGTGGCGACAGCGGGCGGGTGCGTGTGGACGCGGCACTGGAGGCGTTTGAGCGCGGCGGCATCGACGCTTTCACGTTCCGCATGCGGCGGCTGGGCAAGCTACGGCGGATGCTGGTGTCTCACGACAACACTGGAAAGAACCCGTGAGTGTCCACCTGGGAGTGGGGGGAAAGGAATGGCGGAATGTAATACGATATGATATGATATGTGGAAATATAAAAACAAGAAAAAGTTAACTTTATGAAAAATAAAATAAAGTAATTATGAAAATATAATATACATATCCGAGCCGCGTGACCACCCTTTTCCATCCCACGTGACCCTTCATCATCCGAACCTCTCCTATTCCCTATCAGTCCGCCCGCACCCTATTCCGCCTGCGAACCCCCGGCCTCTAAACCTTTTAAACCCCCGGCCTCTCCCACTACGCCACCGTCTCGCTACGGACAGGGCCTGGTTTCTGCTCAAGGTGGTGGTCACCAGCACACACCCAGAGGAGCCGGAGGTGCGGCAGACGGAGAAACGGCCCCGTGTGTGTGTGCTTGTGCGCTTGTGCGTGCATGCATACGTGGGGGGTTGTTTGTTAGACCGGGGCGTTAGGGTGTGAGACCGCCTGAGGCGGTGTGTTTCGTGTCAAAGGGCTCACAGGCTGACGGGGACACCGCCTTCTATCTGCGATCCATGAACACCTCTTACAGCCGTTTGCACTCCCTCCTCCTCCTCGTACTCCCCTTCGTGTGGCGCTGATACTGGTGTATCACGTCTCCAAACCCCCCCGTGGCACCCTCTCACCACCCAGACCACCGTGTTTATCTGCAACCGCTGGCTTCAAGACCCCGACCGTGCCGTACACCCAGCCGTCGAGCTGCTGCCAGGCGGCGACCTGCCGCCAATCGTACATTACAAGGTGGCCGTCACGACGTCGGACATCAAAGTACGTGTCTCTCGAAAAATACTTTTTAGCACGGCGTGGAGGAACATAACCAGGACCAGGACCTGTTCACCTGTTCCTCCTCCTCCTGTTTCTCCCCTTCGCAACCGTTGCTATTCACGAACTACTTCTTTCCTTTCACGGATACCATGCTCTCAAGTCCAAATCCGCGACCCCTCTCTCAACCCGACCGCCAGGGTGCTGGTACTGAGAGCAAGGTATACCTGGAACTCATCGGCGCAGCAGGCCAGCTGGGCCCCGTACATCTGGACAACCCTGCGGCCTTCGAGCGTGGCGCCACGGATACCTTCATCCTGGATGCCCTCGATTTGGGAGAGCTGCTGTGTCTGCGGGTCACGTGCGACGGCAGCGGCATGCGACCGCTGTGGCACCTGCACCACATCGATGTCTGGCGGGATCCTGCAGTAACGGACCCGGAGGCGGCGGTGTACTTTCCGTGCAGGTAGGTGGGTGAGGTGGTGGAGGTTCGACTTCGGGTTGGGTGGACGGGATTTGGGGATTTTGGGCGGGATATTGTCTCGCCCCCGACTTAGGGTTTCCCGCAAGTCCACCCAACCCTTTCCCTTTCCCCCCATTCTTTTTCCCCGTTTCCCCGCCTCGCAAACGTGCTTCTTGCATATGAATTCCGCGCTGTCGTCTGTCTGTGGCGCCGTGGCATGTGCATGCGTCAGGGCCTGGTTTGACAAGGACGCCGGCTTCGTGAAGGAGCTCTACCCGGGCAAGCGTACGGACGAGGCGGTCAAGATACCGTACACACTTCGGGTGAGGGTAGAGTGGTTGTTGGTTGCCCGTCCAGTTCTTTTTTTTCGATTTGAAAGCATGGCTGTACCCACCTACACGTAGGGGATACAACCCGTGGGGCTTTATTCGGCCTAGAGTTGCGCACTCGACCTGGCCTGAACACACAGCCAAACCCACGCAGGTCTGTCCAAAACCCTGCACTACACATCACGGCACGACACGGGCTTCCTCCGCCCCCGTCCGTGTTTGCACCCTCTAAAAAAACAATAATACCCTTCCCCCTGCTCGGCCGAATCCAGCAGTTTGTTTTGTGTTTTTTTTCTGTGTATGGCTTCCCCTCCGTCCCCGTCCGCGCTCTCCTGACACACGTACAAACGTGCACACGTACATGCACATGCACGTGCACTCCTTCACGCGCGCGGACAGGTGTACACGGGTGATTTGAAGAACGCCGGCACGGACGCCAACATCAGCATCAACCTTCAGGGCGACCGCGGGGAGAGCGGCTACGTGCCCCTGGTGGCCAACTACGACACCTTTGAGCGAGCCCAGGTGGATACCTTCGAGCTGATGCTGCCCGATGTGGGCCGGCCGTTGTTCCTGCTGGTTCGCAGTGACGGCACCAGTCGCAAGCCCACCTGGTTCATGGACTTTGCGGACCTGGCCTCCGAGAACATACCCCTCACGTACTTCGTGGCAGGTAGGTTGCGGGGGAGGGGGGATACGGAGGGCGGTAGGCAGTAGGGGGCGGTGGGCGCCCACCAGCGGCCTATGGGTGGGGGGTGGGGGGTGCGGGGAGGAAATGGGTGTGTGCTGTGTCGGGGGGTGATGTGATTGCGGGACAGGGGGCTAAGTGGACGGATAGAGAGTTTGAAAGGGCGGGGAGCTGGGAGGTGAAAAGAGAGGGGAGCGTGCTCCTGATATGGCCAAGCAAGATGTGTTTTGGAGGTCAGGCCAGGCCAGGCTGTGGCAGGGAGGTTTGTCGTCTGTCAAACGCCAACATGTGGTTGTAGCTCTTGAGAGAGCGCCTCCCTGCACCATTTTCGATCAACCGACTGAACGAACTGAAGCCAAATCCATTGCGATTGGTTTCATGGTTGCGTGCCGGTGGCCGATTTTACCTTCTTCTCTTCCCTTCCGCTGCCCCCCTCTTCCTAGGCATGTGGCTGGGCCCCGAAACCGGTCTGGAGATCCGCATCCCTGCCGGCTTGAGAGACCCACGGGTCGGCCGAGTGGAGTACCTGGTTCAGGTCCACACATCCGATATCAAGTGAGTCAGTCGTCTTGCAGCGTTGCATTCAACGTTGAAATCTGTCAGATGGTTCGGTGCCACGGAGCCGCATCTGGCTATCTAATCGTGCCATACACCACGCTGCGAATTCTACCACGCAGCGCTGCGAAACAATACCTACATTATGAGCCGTTCCGTGTGCTAGAAGCCCTGCGATACCATTTTGTGTGTGCTTCATTACTGTCCTGCCGTGGTGAGGGCTGCGTCGTGAGGGCTTTTTTTTGGTTTGCATCTCCCCAACACCTCACCTTGGTGCCGTCCATCCCCCGCTCCCCGTTCCCCCCCATGCTTGCTCAGGAACGCGGGCACTGATGCGGGTGTATGGATTGAGCTGGTCGGTGACGAGCTGACCAGTGGCCGTCAGGCGCTTATTGACACCAGCAAGGACACGTTCGAGAGGGCGCAGGTGTGCGGCTGGCGGGGGGACTGGCTGGGCGGGTGGTGGTAAGAGGAGGGAAGCAGGAGGAGGAGAGGAAGCAAGAGGAAAGCAAGAGGAAAGCAAGAGGAGAAAAGAAGAGAAGATACGGCAGGAAAGGAGCGGGCGGTGGTAAGAGGAGGGAAGCAGGAGGAGGAAAGTTCAGCGCGATGTCCGTCATAGCTCCATCAAGATTTCTCACTCTCCGGACTGTCTCACTGTCCCCTCAATGTGTGTGCTCCCCAATCCCGACTCCAACCTCAATAACATCCCCCCCGTTACTCCTCTGTTCAACGTCCGCCCCACCCCTACTGCCCTGCTACCCTGCACCACGGCCGCAGGTGGATGACTTCAAGGTGGTGTGCCAGCCTTTGGGACCCTTGAGGTCTGTGCGCGTGTGGCATGACGGCAAAGGAAAGCCGTGGCATCTGGACATGATCGTGGTCACGGCACCCACAGGTGAGAGCTGCTATATAAGAGGCGGTATGTATGAAAGCTTGTTGGTGGGGTGGCTGGGTGGATGTGGGCGTGCGTATATGGATGTGCGTATATATGTGAAGCGTTTTTAACTGGTAAAACTGTGCTATGAGAGAAGCGAAAACGTGTTCATGTTGCCGTCAGCTTTGAGGTGGCCTGTTTTAACGGGCAGAAGCTCCCTTCTTTCCTTCCTTCCTTCTTTCTTTCCTTCCTTCTTTCCTTCATTCCCGCACTTTCTTCCGCATTTCCTTCCCCTGCCCTGTCCGGCCCTTCAATGTTTTCGGGTTCCCATTATTTCCAGGTGAGAAGTACTACTTCCAGTTCTGCAACTGGCTGGGCCCCTCCAACCCCATGGCGGAGATAAAGGCGGGGCTACGGGACCCCAAAGCCGACCAGAAGACATACAAGGTAGGTACGACGTACGGCAGGGAAGCACGCGAGGATGTAATAAGAACGTACACGAAAATCGCAAGGTGAACCTATGAATTTGTGAAACGTCGTGTACAGCGTGTCGTCGTTGTAAGCACGTCGTATGTAAGCAGATCTGTAGGAAGGAATGCTGACCTCTGCAATGACTTGCGCTTGGACCTGCCTTCCGCCCAGCCCAGCCCAGCCCAGCCCATACTTCCCGTCGTGTACATTTATTCATTTTTTGCTGTGTAGTTCTAAGCCATGTATTCCCATAACGAAGTCGATACCTTCGTCCTTCCTTTTACCTCCCGCGTCCTTCTCACGCTCCCTTCCTTCCCCCTACCCTACCTGGCTGCGTGTGTGTTGTTTTGTGTATAGGTGGTGGTTCGTACCTCGGACCTCCCGGGAGCCGGTACGGACGCCAACGTGTACTGCGAGCTGCGAGGCACTCGGGGGGGCACTCCACGTCATCAGCTCCGGAGCCGGGCGGTCAACTGCTTTGAAAGGGGCAAGGTACGGCTGGATACGGTCGGGGCATCGTGTATCAGATATGCGTTTGTATATGTGTGTGTCCCACACCACACCACACCACACCACACCACACCACACCACACCACACCACACCACACCGAACTGGCTTAGAGGGCGGAGTTGCGTGGGCAGGTCAGGTTACAGCGACTCTGCTTTGTTTGGGGGAGGCGTTTCATATACTGTATGGTGTTTGGGCCCAGACGGGCTGTTGAATCCCATCCATCGCGCTCATCCCCCCCCTCTTGTCTTTCCCTCACCCACTCAACCCACACCTCCCCGCGCTTGCGGCCCTCTCCGCCCCTCCTCGCTCTTTGCCATTGTCCCCCTCCACCTCCCCCTTGCGTATCTGGTACTGTGCTATGGATACTTTTCTTGTTGCCTGTCCCTGCGGCGACATCATCCTATTTTATTTATCAATGCAGTCTGACGAGTTCGAGGTCAAGGCTGAGGATTTGGGCGGTCTGCGGGAGATGGTAATCGGCCACGATAACACCGGCATAGGGCCCGGGTGGCACCTGGAGCAGGCCGAGGTGACCGACCCCGCCACGAACCAGGTACGTGTGTACGTGTGTACGTATGTATGTGAACGAACCAGGTACGTGTGTACGTATGTATGTATGTGTATGTATGTGAACGAACCAGGTACGTGTGTACGTATGTATGTGAGTGAATATGTGAGTGCGCATATGTGGGTGTACACGCACATTCTCACACGCAACCTTTAGATCTACCCGGCTAAGTTCGATTTAAACACACACAATCACACGCGCACACACACGAGTGACTTCACTTTGTTCTGCTTATGCTGCACTTCGCCTTTAGTGCCCTTCCTTTCTTCCATACACACATACATACGCGTATTGCATCGTTAGGGATCTGTTTTTCTGCCTTCCCGTGCCCTCCCAACCTTCCTTCTCTACCACCTAACGCTTCCCTGCTCTGAGCTGCTTGCCCCACCTACCTCGGCAAATACGCCTTCACCCATTTCCCAGACCTGGTACTTCGAGTGCAATCAGTGGCTGGACACCAAGGAGGGAGATGGCCGCACGGAGCGAGTACTGGAGGCATCACTGCAGGCAAGAACAGGGGCGAGAAAGAATAGGGAGGGAGGGAGGGAGGGAGGGAGGGAAGGGCGCAGAGGCCCAGGCGAAACTGGAGGAGGAGGAGGAAGAGGAAGAGGAAGCGGAAGGTTTGAGGGGAAGGGGAGCCGCGGCAGGGGACGTGGCACGTGCGCTGCTGCTGCTTACGTGCGGGCGTCCGGTGGGTCACTGTTCCCGTTCCGTCGTTCTTTTCACCCGCACCATGCTTCTTATCCATCATCGTCGTCGTCGTCGTCGTCGTAGCCTTGTCTTTTATCAAAAATCTTGTGATATACTTTATTTTTTATTAATTCTGTTACATTCATGATCTTTAAATAAGCACTTAAAGATATGTTTGAAAATAAACAAACAGATAAGAGCCAAAGAATAAAATATCTTAAAAAAATCGAAAATAGTTTTAAAAAAGAGTTGCTCCCTTTCTGTTGCACCTCACCCACCCACGCACTGCACTGCACTGCACTGCACATGCGTACCGTCCCAGGACCCCCGCAACAGCCGGGTGACGTACAAGCTGCGAGTCAAGACCAGCGACCGGCCCGGTGCGGGAACTGACGCCAACGTGTACATCGACCTGCGGGGGGAGCTGGGGTCCACAGGTGGGGGGAATTAGGGGGGTTGTGTGGGGGGGGGGGGGGGACGGGGGAGAGAGAGAGGGCGGGGAGGGCAAAGAGGGGGTGGGGAAATCATCATCATGGTTCAATGGAAGAGGTACTCTCGTCGGCCTTTATAACCGGGTAGGGAGGGGGGGGGTCACGGGGTTGGTCGGATCGGTTGGGCTGGGGTACCGATGCCGTACGTGCCTCCGTGCTCCCCCACACGTGCTCCCCCACACATAAACGCGTCTCCTCGCTAAAACCAAAGTTTAAAACCCGTTTGCCCTCCAGCCATGTACAAGCCTTGACAAAACAATGCTAGCTGCGAACATTCGTGAAGCACACGGACCGGCCCCATTTCTCACAACAACACAACAGTCAACTTTCTTTAAATCGATCACCCCGCCCAGCCCAGCACAATCCCCCCCCCCACCCCGTAATACAGATATGCCCCACTACACCCACCATACACACACACACAGGCAAGACGTTCCTGAAGAACCGCAAGCTCAATAACTTCGAGCGCAATTGCCTGGACGACTTCACCGTCACATGCCGCCATCTGGGCCCCCTGCGGGAGATGCTGGTGGGGCATGACGACACTGGCCTGGGGTCGTCATGGCACCTGGAGTACATCGAGGCATTCGACAGCGCAACCGGAGTGGTGCGGACGGGGAACAGGGGATGGGGGGGATGAGGGGGATGGGGGGGATGAGGGGGATGAGGGGGGAAGCGGTGTGCGGGGATGGTGAGGAGGTGCGGGGTGAGACGGGTTGCAGGGTTTGGGAAGTATATATATATATGTGTATAGCGGTATGTATTTAAGTGGGAGCTATGAACTTGGACATGACTTCGTTGTGGGTGGGTAAATCAGTGGTGATGTTAGGGCCACCACAGACAGACGCCACGGCAATAGTTGCCATCTCTACTCAATAAATGGGATCAATTGGGTGATGTAACGAAACGTCAAAATATGGACCCTCCCACCGACCTCCGACATCGCAACTGAAGTGTGCGCACCTGTCTTCTCCTCTTCTTCTTTTGCTCCCATCACCCCCTTTTACAGCATCAGCTTCAGCTTCAGCTTCACTCGTTCGTGGTTCGTCTCCCCTCACACACACCCCGACGATCCACCTTCTCACGCGAACGCCCCTCCCTCTCCCCCCCTTTCCGCAGACCTGGTATTTTGACTGCAACGCCTGGCTGAGCTCTACGGAGGAGGACTGCCGCCTGGAGCGGGTGCTGCCGGCGTCCCTGGAGAACCCTGCCAACAAGAGAACCAACTACAAGGTGGGGAAAGGGGGATAATGTTAGTTGGATTACAGTAACTTCTTCACCAGCTGGATTTTCGTAAACTTGCCATTGATGCATGCAGCATATAGTGTACAAAAAACCCAAAGAACCCAAAGAAGAACCAACTACAAGGGGTGTTCGGAGGGTGGGCATGTGTCAGGGATTGGGGAGTCGAACGGACACGAGGCCTTGCCGCAGGCGTTACGCCTACGCTCTTCAGTAGCAGTAGGGGTTGGGGTTGGATTTGGCCGTGACCTCACCTCACCTCACCTCACCTCACCTCACCTCACCTCACCTCACCTCACCTCACCTCACCTCACCTCACCTCACCTCACCTCACCTCACCTCACCTCACCTCACCTCACCTCACCTCACCTCACCTCACCTCACCTCACCTCACCTCACCTCACCTCACCTCACCTCACCTCACCTCACCTCACCCCGCCACCCTTCCCTCTTCAGGTGCTGGTGGTTACCAGCGACCGGGCGGGTGCGGGCACCGACGCCAACGTGTTCATCGACATCTTCGGAGTCAACGGCACCAGCACGGGCCGCACACTGCTTAACAACAAGGGCAACGACTTCGAACGAGCCCAGTCGGACACCTTCACAGTGGGTCTTAGGGCGGGGCGGGGCGGGGCGGGGGCCGTCTATAAGTCGCCTGTACCGTGTGAACTTGACAAGGAACTGGGTGGCAGCAAGCTGCGGCTTGGGTTATTGGGTAATTGGGGTGGGAACGAATGGCCCACTGGAAAAACACACCGACCGGATCCCCGGGTTCCCCTGCCGGTGTTTACCCCGGTTACCGTATCTGCATGGACACCGCGGGACGTACTTCACCCTCCGGCCCCCCGCATTGCCCCCCAACCCAAACCCAAACCCGTCCTCTGCCGCTAAATCATCTGATACCCACCTGATCAGATTGCCGGCCGCGATGTGGGCCCGATGAAGAAGATCCGTATCGGCCACGACAATTCGGGCATAGGGCCCGCCTGGCACCTCAACCGCGTGGAGGTGACCAACCTCAAGACTGGCGAACACCGCATCTTCCCCGCCAACCGTTGGTTCAGCAAATCAGACGAAGATTTCCAAATCGAGCGAGATCTCTTCCCCGGCGACGTACCAGACCTGAACGTGGATTACGAAATTGTTGTGGTGACGTCAGACATACCTGGAGCGGGCACCGACGCCAACGTGTACGTCCAGATGTACGGCACGGAAGGCGAGGCGGGACCTTTACGACTTGACAACCCGAAGAATAATTTTGAAGCGGGCGATACCGACGTGTTCAACGTTCGGGCTCCGGATTGCGGCGATCTGCAAAAGATCCGGTTGTACCACGACAATAAGGGTTTCGGAGCGGCCTGGCACTGCGAAATCGTCATTGTGGGTGTACACTGCATCTTGTTGGGGGTTGCGGGAGGTATGCCCTTTTTGCGTGATCTGAGGTGATGTGGGAAAAGGTGAAATGGAATCGGGTTCTCCGCACTTCTCCGGACATGACAGGAGTCAGCTGTCGGGCGGATTGGCCCTCTGGTACACGTTTGAAGAGGCGTTTGAAGAGGCGCCGTCGAGCTTCTAGACTTTGCCATACCCGCCGGCCCCCTTTCGTCTTTCTACTAGCGTCCCAATAACCATTTCCCCCCTCCGCACCAGTCCTCCCTGACACTCGCTTTCCCCCCCCTCTCCCTTTGTCGCGTCTTCTTTCTAACCTCCTGTCCCCTCCGTGGCCTGTCACCCACCTTTATCCCCTCCCCCCCGTGCTCCTCCACCCTCGCGCTTTGCTTCTCCCGCCCTATACCTGCCACACTGTCGCGCCCGTCGCATAAATAGATTACCAATAAGGCCCGAAAGCGCACCTGGTACTTCTACTGCGGCCAGTGGCTGGATAAGAAGTCGGGGCTGGAGCGGATTTTGTCGGCTTCCGACACCGACCCACGGGCCGCCCTGGTCACTTACACGGTCACTACACACACATCCGACATCAAGGGCGCGGGAACCGACGCCAACGTGTGTATCGAGATGTACGGCACCAAGAGCCGCAGTGGCGTACGGGAGCTCAAGGGCAAGGGTAATTTGTTTGAGCAGGTAAAACGACTGGCGGTTGGCGGTTAGCAGTTAGTTTACAATTATACCGGACCTCTAATGGTCAGACATGTTGGTCATAGCTAGGTGCGTGTCGTAATCTCTCTCTTTCGTTATCTTCTTTGTTCTGTATTCATATACTTGTACGTGCATATGGACAGGGAAAATCGGACACCTTTGCTTTCAAGATGCCGGACCTGGGCGACCTGACGGAGTTGGAAATCTGGCATGACGGTTCAGGTTTCGGAGCGGGATGGCACCTGGACTTTGTGGAGGTGCACAGCAGCGCCACCGGCAAGGCAAGTGGCAGCGAGAGCGGCGTCGCGTGGGGACGGCGGAGGGGTTAGTTGCCAGATGTGTGTGTATGCGTGTGCAGGGCGCCGGAGTTCCTAGGTAACGAAGGGAAAGGACGCAAGGACGCATCCCGTGGTAAATAACTTAAAGTGCCATCCATGGCAGAACAACAGTTCTCCTCCGACCATGACCAGCACCAGCACCAGCACCAGCACCAGCACCAGCACCAGCACCAGCACCAGCACCAGCACCAGCACCAGCACCAGCACCAGCACCAGCACCAGCACCAGCACATGGGTCCTCCTCCTGACCCTTCCCCCTCCCCGACATTCCACCCCTTGAACATTTGTCCCCCTCAACCCCCTCCCCCACCCCCACCCCCACCACCCCACCCCACCCCCACCTCCCCACACCTCCCCACACCTCATCCCCTTCAGATCTACTACTTCCCTTGCGGTCGCTGGCTCGACACCAAGGAGGACGACGGCCTCATCCGCCGCCGGCTGCCGGTATCGTACAGGGACCCGCGTTCTTTCAAGGCGCGTTACCGCGTCAGCATCACCACCTCCAACCTGCGGGGTGCGGGCACGGATGCCAACGTGTTCATCCAGCTGTTCGGGGAGGAGGGGGAGACGGGCCGAATCAAGCTGGACAACCCGGGGAAGTGAGTGGCGGGCGCAACATGGGGGGGATGAGGGAGGAAAATATATGTGTGTGTATCGGGTCTGACCTGGTGCGCTCATGTCCTCACGTCCTGACGTCCGATCCCGACTTGGAAGTCCCCAACCCGGCCCAAACACGCACCTGATACCTACCCTCTCATGACACCCTGGCACCTCACTACCGCCGCCGCCCAGGAACGATTTCGAGCGCGGCAACACGGACGTGTTCCTGTTCGAGGACAAGAACGTGGGCAACCTGCGCAAAATCCGCATCGGCCACGACGGCACCGGCCTGGGTGCGGGCTGGCACCTGCAGCGTGTGGTGGTGGAGAACCTCACCACGGGCCAGATGGTGGTGTTCGACGTGAACAGGTGCGGCTGGGTGGGGACAGGCCTCTGCTGGGGGGCTGTGGGGCTGTGGTCGGGGCTGGTGAGGCTTAGCGGGGGAGCTAGGTAGGCAGTGGCAGCACTACCAGTAGTACCCTGCCGGTGCCGGACCAGAGCTGCGAATAACTCACCACACCCACACCCACACCCACTACCACTACCACACCTACTACTACTTTATGAGATGGGAGGGCTTTCCTTAGCGGTCAGGTTGGCGGCCGGGTCGGCGACCAGGTTGGGGATCCAACTTCCAACTACCAACTTGTGCATCACGCACACCCCCATTGTGTGTCAGGTGGTTTGACCGTGCGGAGGACGATGGCGCCATCGAGCGGGACCTGTACCCCAGCAGGGGAGCCGCCCCCGGCGACAACGCGGTCAACTGGCGACTGATCGTTGTCACAGGTGAGGCGGTGGTGGTGATAGTGCGGCCGGTGATAGTGCTGCCGGTGATAGTGGTGGTGATGGTGGCGCTAGGAGACATGCTGAGCCGCGATAAGAAGAGTACTAGTAGCGTTTGTGTGCGCGCATGCATGCATGGGTGGTTATGTCCTTTCATCGTACCTCAGTGACATCGGGCCGGACATTGGCCACACGACAAGTGCCTCGCTATACGCGTCTGTAGGTGTGTATACGTGTGTGTACATGTGTGTCGGTTTTGTTTTTTTGGGGAGGCTCCGACTCTCCTTTCCCTCGCGACCCGTTCACCGCTAAACCCCCAAAACCCTCCCTGCCCCCTGGGGGCCCCAGCCAACGAGCGCGGCGCCGGCACCGATGCGGACGTGTTCGTGACGCTGCACGGCGACCAGGGCACCTTCGGGCCCTACACTCTGCCTGCCCCCAAGGAGGCCTTCGAGACCGGCTCCACCGACACCTTCAGTCTCACCACGCCGCAGCTGGGCCGCATTCAGGCGCTCACCATCGGCCACAATAACAAGGGTTTCGGAGCGGCTTGGTGCCTGTCGCGAGTGGAGCTCGAGAACATGAACACAGGCACGAGCTCAGGGAAGGACGAGGGGGAAGGGGCCGGAGGACGACGGGGGACGATGTCGGGGGAGGTGTGGGGGAGTTGTGGAGGGTAAAACCCAGGACGAAAAGCCCTACCCGGACCGCGCGGCGCTGAAGGCAGGGAAGGGAGAGGACAGTGACGGGTGACGGGTGGGACCTAGAGCCTGAGGACCCTAGAAGGAGAAGCAGGACCCTGACGAGGAAACTCCCTCTCACCCTCTCCCTCTCCTCCTCTCTCTCCAACCTCTCCTTGCCCCTTCCTCCCCCCCCCTTCTCCTGCTCCCCTCCCTCTTGTGCCCCTCCTGCTCGCCTCCTGGCCCCACCTCCTATTCCTGACTCCTTACATATTCTCCCCATTCCCCATTCCTAACCCCCAGGCGAGCGCTACATCTTCAACTTCAACAACGCCTGGCTGGACTCCAAGAACGGCACCAGCCGCACCACGGCACCGTCCATGTTCGACGAAAACATGGCCGGTATGGGCGGACCCGGCGGAGGCGGTACCGGCTCTGAGGGTCCCACCACCGCCACCATGGCGGCTGCCGGTGAGGGCAAGGCCAACTACCGTCTGGAGCTGGCTACTGGTCTGGGTCCGGAGGGGGCCATGGTGGATGGTCAAGTCATGGTGGACATCATCGGAGCCGAGGACCACACGGGTGAGGGTGAGGGGGAGGGGGAGGAAGGGGGCCCGGAGTTGGAGGCTGCTACAAAAGCCTTTTCAAAAAGAAAAGGACAACACCGCCACAGGGGTCTGGCACACCTCCAAATCTGAAATACGTCGTAGTAGAAGTTCGGAACCCGTCATGACGGAAAGAAGTGACACAGTCCTAGGTATAGACCCGGAGAGAGGGGAGAACGGGAGTAGTGAGGAGGGGGTTTGGAGGGGACTGGACAGGAGGAGGGAATTGGGTGGGGGCAGAGAAGGGGCGGACCTCCAGGATGTATGAGGCTAGGGCGGGGAGGGGTATACATGTATATGTATACGTGGATTGCGGGGCGGGTCAGAAATTTTGTTTCTGTTGTGGGGTGTTTAGAAGCGGAGGGGGGTTGATGGAACCGCACGAAGGCAAGGCAGGGGAAGGCGACGAGGGGTTCACATGGGCGGTCCAGCTATTGGGTGTAGCAGGATCCGTACTTCACCATCAAACCAACAACGAACGACTGCCAACGAACGACAACCACCGCCAACTGTTTGCTGAACCCGCCGTCGCAGGGCGGCAACTGCTCGAGATGCCTTCCGACGGATTCCAGCCCGCCCGCGTGGAGGAGTTTGGTCTGGCGGGGTTGCCGATGGTGGGTCCAATGCGGCAGCTGGAGCTGGTGCATGCGGGCAGCGCGCCGTGGGAGGTTCGCTACGTCAAAGTGCACAACGAGACGACCGGAGAGAAGGCTGTGTTCGTGCCGGAAGGGTGAGTTGTTGATCGGTGGGTTGGTCATAGTTGTCGTGGCGGTCATGATCACACTGTACGTACCATATGGATTTTTGGCCACCATCCACTTCTGGGGAAGGAAAGGTCCTTCCCCCGAACCGAACCGAAACTACTATCGTACATCCTGGCACCATTTCCCTTGTTGGTGTGGTTGTTAAAAGGGTGTGTGTACGTGTGCGTGTGCGTGTTTATATGACGGTATTGTATTACTGTGGTGGTATAGCCGGGTTCCCGCTGTTGAGTGAGTTGAGCTGTGTATGTCCCAGGCGTGTAGCTCCTCTCCGCACTTCCCTGCACCCCTCCCTCCCGGCGCCACCTGCTGTCCCCCTTCCTCGTCCCTTCCTACCCATCTCCCTCCTGCTGCCCGCTACCCCCCCCCCTTTTGCAGTCCGCTGTATCCGGGTGTTCCCGCCCTGCTGCACCTGTGGACGCCCCTGCCATGCGACTACCGAGTGGAGGTGCAGACGGGGGACACGTTCGGGGCGGGAACCAACGCCAAGATCAGCATCAACATATTCGGAGAGCTGGGTTCCACAGGTGAGCGGTGGGCGGTAGTGGCGGGTAGGGGGAAAGACGAACCACGAACGAGTGAAGCTGCTGCCAAGGAAAGAGTGTAAGAAAAACAGAACGGACCACTGGGAAGGGGGGGAGGGTTTAGCTTGGCCTGGGGGGTTCCCCACATCACACATCACATCACGTCAAGTCACTTCACTTCACGTCTCGTCTCCCTGGGATGATGACCCCATGATGGCTTCGCCTCTCCTTCCAGGCCGCGTGGAGCTCAAGTACGACGGTACGGAAGGCAGCGGCGGCGTGTGTGGCGACGTGTGTGCGACCAAGCCCTTCCGTCGCAACCAGCTAGATGTGTTCACATTGCGGGGACTGCAAGACACGGGCGACATCCGGCAGATTGATATCGGCCACGATGACAGCGGCGCGGGATCCGGTGGGTGGGTGTGGGTGTGGGCGGGTAAGATTGATGTAGTTAGGGATCCGTTCCCCCTTGGCACCTCCCGCGATTGCTCTTTGGCTGCTCGTGCTGGTGTTGCAATTGAGATGTGGGGGAGGTGATGAGGACCAGCAGGTTCCCTAGCAGCAGCCCTCGAACACCACCTTATGTAGCTTGGGTATGGGTAAATGGTTTGCAGGGTACACGGGGTATGGGTGCAGCTACCCGGGGGCCCTACACAGCCCCGGGGGCCGCACGTATGAAGACAAGACAGACGTACATGTAGACATGTAGGCATATGCACACGCGTGATGAGACAGAGGGACATAGAGGCAGGAGGAGGTATGATGATGAACCGAAAACTCAATCCCTTCTCCCCTCCCCTACCTCTCTCCCTTCCTCCCTCCTTTCCCCTCCACAGCCTGGTTCCTATCCTGGGTCCGAGTGACCAACCTAGCCACCGGGGCATCAGCCTACTTCCTGTCCGACAGCTGGCTAGCCAAGAACAAGGGAGACGGATTCACACGCCGCCTGCTCACCGCGATGGTGGGTGCTACCTCCCGTAGTTGGCTTGTGAGGAGGGGCCCCAAGGGAAGGCGGTGTGAGGGAAAGGAAGCGATATCATTTAGGGCATTGTCACCTCTTGAGCCGATTCCACCTCTTAAAACCCGGCATGCTTTAATTACCCCGCTACCTCCATCCCTCCTTCCACTCCCGACCCCTACATCCCGGGCCCTCCAGAGCAACACCGGCCCCTCCCTGGCCAACGCGGGCACGCTGGCAGACGGCACCGCCACCGCCCACGTTACCGTGTCCCCGCGGGAGGGGCTGCTGGACCCAGCCGCCGCTGCGGGCCTGGCTCGCAAGCTGGCGGGGGGGGCAGGGGGCGGCGGCTCGGGTTACAAGATCACTTTGCACACCAGCAACGTGTGTATGGCGGGAACGGGTGCTGGTGTGTTTTTCGAGCTGATTGGGGAGTACGGCTCCTCAGGTAGGAGGGCGGGGGGTTTGAGGGAAGGGGAGGGAGGGAGGGCAGGGGCCCAGAGAGCATGTCGACATAACCGTTTCGATGCGCTGTAGTGGAGATACAACGCTTGTGGGGTGGGCAGGCGGCCTGGGCAAGCTACAGGCTATGTGCTTCTGTGAAAATGTATCGTAGATTGTATGGGTCTCGGTGTTTGCGTGTCTTTTTGTGTGTGTGTCTGTATGTCTATGTGTCTATGTCTATGTGTTTTGCACGGGGGGTATTACGGGGCCGCTACGCCTCATCTGACTTCTGTTGTCAACCACTCAGCCACTCAGCCCGTCGGTCTTGGCCGCCGAAACCCTCCTCTCCACACCCCCCACACACCGACGTCCACACCCACACCCACACTCGCACCCACACTCGCACCCACACTCGCACCCACACCCACACTCGCACCCACACTCGCACCCACACTCGCACCCACACCCACACTCGCACCCACACTCGCAGGCACCGTCATGGTCACCGCCAACCCGCAGCAATTCGCCCGTGGCTCCTCCGACACCTTCATCTACCCGCGGCTTCCCTTCCTGGGAGAGCTGCTGCAGATGCGTGTGGGTACCACGGGGGCTGGTGTGTTCGCCACCTGGCACCTGCGCGGCGCGGAGGTGGTGCACCTGCCCTCGGGCTCTCGGTACGTGTTCAACTGCCACAACTGGATCGATAAGAAGGTCAACTGGCAGAGGGTGCTGGTGGCGACGACGTCCGCGCCGGCGCCGGCGATGACGCCTTCGATGGGCGGCCGAATGGGTTTTTATTCATAGTTAAAATTATGAATAATCAGTCATATAAATTCTTATATGAAATTACATACTTATAATTTATAATAATATTATGAGTAAGAGCTGCGAGGAAGTGAGAATGAAGGATGTGGGTATTAATTTTACATGAAATTGACAAAAAGAAGGTAATTATATATAATTCCGAAGCCGAATGAAGAAATGCTGATGTTCCCTACTTGACTTTATGTACGTATGTGCCTGACGGCGCTTTTTTTGCTCCATGTGCTGCTTCCGAGCCTTATGTTAGCCAGGGCAGCTACTGCCGTGGGCTTATAAGGAGTATTGAATGACGTCTTGTGATGCACGTGTGAGTGTATACATGTGTGTGTATGTGTACGAATGTATATATGTATGTATGCTGTCGTGCTGCTTGGTACGTGTGTGGGCGATAGACGCCAATGGCACTGCTGGACGTGGCGGGGGTAGTGGCGACGGTGGGCTGTTAGCGGTAATATGGCGCGCGCGCGCGTGTGTGTATGTATGTATGTTGGTTCGAAAAGACCAATCGGCGATCGAAAAGCGACTGCTGGCTGCGGCTGACTGGCTGCGATATACACATACAAATAACTTGCTGATATCACTTAGGCGGCCGAGCCATTCTTAGGTGAAAATGGAGATGGGGAGAGGGAAGGGCGTGTGTCGTAATTTTCGGCACAAGGTATTCAACCATTCAGAGGGCTCAACCTGTCTAGAGGATGGCTTGGCCATGCTTTCGGTCGCGTGCTAGATTATTTATTGTTTGCAAGGCCTCGGCGGGCGCCGAGCGAGGCGCTAAGGACTTGACGGCTGGAGGCGGATAGCCTGCCCTTCCCCTCTCGCTTTCCTCTTCGTTCATAATATTGACTTTGGGTTAGGTGCTTTTTCCTTTTACAGGGACTTAACGATTAGATAGGGAGTCGATTTTTGTACATTTCGTAAAAATATACATTTTTACGATTTTACGTTTCGTTGGACATTCAATATGTTTCATGTTTTGCGGGATTTTTCGAGCTCGCAGACTACATAACCTACATCACGGAGTACTAAACACGACTTGTTTTGACGCTAGGCTTTTAGGCCACGATGTGGAGATTTTCAGTGCGCCGAGCCATGCAAGGATTGGGGGTTAACCGCGACATTGAACCACTATCTTAACAGTCCTAAGTGAAGATGGATTTTGATGAACTTGATTATGATAACCGTGAATCTTTGGGCCTGGGTATAGAAGCAGGGTCAGCCGAAGATCGTGCGGCTGTGATACGAAGTCCCCAGCCTCCAGCCATCTTTAGACAGTGACCCAGCCTTGAGTGACCCACGTGCTAATGTTGTTTCAATTGAAAGGACAAGCACCCACGAGGGGCTATCACCAGCTGACCCCTTTGAGCCAGCCCGGCAGCTGTCGTCCGCTGAGCCGTCAGGACTCTTGCACCCATCTAGTAGGTATGGCCTACACACGAGCCCACATTGTCACCTTCGTGGATAGGCTTTCCAAAATGTGCCGGGTCGCTCCCACCACGAATGATGTGACCGCCGAGGACTTTAGCCCAGCTGTACATGGACAATGTCTTCCGCAGCAACGGTTTTCCAAAGAAAATCGTCTCCGATTGAGGTCCACAGTTTATTAGCAAATTCTGGGGGGAAACTCATGCGCCGTAGTGGCACACAACATAGGTTGTCAACGGCTTACCACCCGCAAACGGATGGTCAAACAGAGCGGATGAACCGCCTGCTCCAAAACGTTCTGCGCAACTACGTGAACCCCACACAAGATGATTGGGATACCAAACTATCCATAGTAGAATCCGCAATCAATAACTACCAGGCGTCCATCACGGCTACTCCATTTCAGTTCAACTCCATTTCAGTTCAACGATTGCCGGACACCTCGCCTACCCAATCTTCTGGGTGTGAAAGAAGGCAATGTACCCGCTGCTGCCAAATGTTGCAGCGACATCCACGAATATGTGGAGAGGGCCAAACGCTTCACTCAGAAGGCCAAGGACAGCTATCAGAAGCATGCCGATAAAGCTCGACGTGATGCTGAAAACGCGGTGGGTCAAAAGGTCTTACTGAGTACGAAAAACATTCGGCGCAAGCAACCCGGAACGCCTAAGTTCCTACCCTAATGGATTGCACCATTCACCATCATTAAACGTATCGGCTGTGTAGCTGTCAAACTCAGCTTGCCATCCGATTACCAGGTTCACGATGTGTTCCTGGTTACTTTCAATCGGAAACGCCAACGAATAGGCCAACCACCTCCCCGAGCTAACCAACTAGGCGATTCATTCCTCACGTACTTCGTGGCAGGTAGGTTGCGGGGGAGGGGGGATACGGAGGGCGGTAGGCAGTAGGGGGCGGTGGGCGCCCACCAGCGGCCTATGGGTGGGGGGTGGGGGGTGCGGGGAGGAAATGGGTGTGTGCTGTGTCGGGGGGTGATGTGATTGCGGGACAGGGGGCTAAGTGGACGGATAGAGAGTTTGAAAGGGCGGGGAGCTGGGAGGTGAAAAGAGAGGGGAGCGTGCTCCTGATATGGCCAAGCAAGATGTTTTTTGGAGGTCAGGCCAGGCCAGGCCTGTGGCAGGGAGGTGTGTCGTCTGTCAAACGCCAATATGTGGTTGTAGCTCTTGAGAGAGCGCCTCCCTGCACCATTTTCGATCAACCGACTGAACGAACTGAAGCCAAATCCATTGCGATTGGTTTCATGGTTGCGTGCCGTTGGCCGCTTACCTTCTTCTCTTCCCTTCCGCTGCCCCCCTCTTCCTAGGCATGTGGCTGGGCCCCGAAACCGGTCAGGAGATCCGCATCCCTGCCGGCTTGAGAGACCCACGGGTCGGCCGAGTGGAGTACCTGGTTCAGGTCCACACATCCGATATCAAGTGAGTCAGTCGTCTTGCAGCGTTGCATTCAACGTTGAAATCTGTCAGATGGTTCGGTGCCACGGAGCCGCATCTGGCTATTTAATCGTGCCATACGCCGCGCTGCGAGCTAACCAACTAGGCGATTCATTCCTTTTCTCATTCATCAGTAATATCTTTCGTTGCAATGAAAGATTGTAAGCCATTCACTGCTGAGCAGCTGCGTAACGCTTGGCCACGACGTCCCAGTCGATCAACTTCTCAATAAAGGTGTTTAGGTAGTCTTCCCGACGGTTCTGGAAGTCGATGTAGTAGGCGTGCTCCCACACGTCCACAGTAAGGATAGGCCTTAACTTGGTCTCAACGAGAGGGTTCATGGCGTCCGGCGTATTGAATATCATGAGCTTGCCCGACTCGTTGGTATTGAGCCAGGCCCAGCCTGAGCCGAATTGATTCATGCCTGCATGCCTAAAATACGCCTTGAAATTGTCAAAGCCACGGAAATCGCGCGCAATTGCCTCAGCCAGCATGCCAGTAGGTGCACCACCACCATTTGGCTTCATGCTCTCCCAGAAAAATGTGTGGTTCCAGGCTTGGGCAGCGTTGTGAAAGACCGGTATATTGTTCCGATACGCACCGCCCCTATAGATATTCAGGAAGATCTCCTCCAGACTCTTGCCGGCAAGCGGGGTGCCTTCGATCTGCTTGTTCAAGTTATCCACATGAGCGCGATGGTGCTTGCCCCAGTGCAACTCTAAAGTCCGCTTGCTCATGTGAGGCTCCAGGGCATCCAGTGGGTAAGGAGGGGCCTTGAGCTCCACCTTGCCCATGGTGACCAAGGCGCGGCGACCCGAGACAGGGCGCCCGCGACGAAGGCCCGCAATAAGGCTTGAGGCCTGGACCTTCATAAAAAGAGCCATTTTGAAGTATTTAAATTGTGAAGCAAGTTGATGTTGTATACTTCAGACGAGGTTTGGGAAATAATTCTGTGTGCGGAGGAATTCCGAGAACCGCCCAGTACGGCGAATCCAACCATCGAAAAGCTGGGGCAAGGTAGCTTCGCTGAGCTGAGCATCAGGAATTTCGGTTTGGATTTAAAACTGTTGAGTTTACACCTTCGTTGAGTGGATCTCCTGGGATGATGCTCCGCAACCTTCAATTCTTTCCCTAACATCGCAGTTCTATGTCTCGGAGGATCGCCTTTACTACACCGGCAATGAGAAGAATGCCACGAGGGTTCGGTACATCTGTCTCGATCGCGTTCCCGTACGACCATTACCACACAGCAGGACTCCCCGGAAAGGATGGGTGGGGACGGTACCCGACATAGGCATCGCGCTGGTCGATCCCGTGTTAATCTGCAGAAAAATGTTTCGCCTTTTATTGCCTTCCATCCTTGATTGATACAATTGCCTGGGCTCCGGGATCAGCTAATCTGCGGCCATGTAAATGCAGCTATGGCAGCGTCCCCAAGCCGTGGGGACCTCTGCCGTTGGGGAGGGCCCTTTGTACCGGGGCTCTCTCCCCTTGGGGAGCCTGAGAATCTCCCCAAACGATTTTCCCTGGGGAGCATTTCGCCGTGGCTGACGCGCCCTCACCGGACGCGCCCGACCAGTTAGGGAAGGTCCAGGAGTGACTCGCGCCGCCTAGTGCCATCGATTTCCCGAAATCCCGGCGACCTTCCCGATGGCCCAGCACCATACCAGTTTGTACGGCACATACTACCCAGCCCTACAGCAAACCAATGCTTCAAACGAAAATTCCCATTGCACGAGGTAGACAATTAGTAAGCGAAATTGGCTCTGTTGGTTAGGTGAATACAAATAATAGCTTTGCATTACCAACTTCACTCGCTGATGAAGGTCGAGGACCCCATTAAGAAGAGCATTCCCAAAGCAAAGAGGAATAAAAGGCGACGGGATAGAGCAAAGCAGCTTCGGAATGCCCAGCCCCCGAGCCTTTCGACAAACGTAGCTGTCCCAAGTGCCAATGCGCAAGAGGAGCCGGTGAACATTGATAACGACGCGACCTATGAGCTTGAAGATTTTGATCCGATTCACCGTGAAGACGCTGACGACGTGGAAGCATCGGAATATGCTGACGGTTTCAGCGCAGCCGAGGAGGAACCAGAACCAGAGCCCGGACCAGAGTCCGCGTTAGCACAAGATGTGCGGGAAGCGTACGTGCGTGACTTTGCAGCAGCGGCGGAGAGCCGGACTTGCTTTCTGAGCAGCAGCGCTGGCGTACTTCGCAGCCTGGCGGGAAGCAGATCTGAGGCGTGCCCCCGGTGCACCGTGCGCTCCCCGGAAGGGGGGCGGACCTGCCCTGTGACATCATTACTTGGGAGCAACCCATATGCGTAGATGTCCCTGTGTGCAGGTGCACACCCTGTCGGGCGTTTCATAACATGCATCCCACAGAGTTCAACTGCCTACCCGACGCTAAGGCTGGGTGGGACCTCCACCTCCAGCCAGACGGCCAGCATGTTCTCTGGTGGCACCAGTCGCTCTTGCAGCTGTTCGACCTTGTGTCATTCAGGAGCAGGCACCTGAGTGCGGACGCGTTCTGCTCTGCGGTTCTTGACACCTAGGAGCAAAATGTCCAGTTTCCGTTTCGGCAACCACACTTCGTGAACGCCTTCGGCAAGCACTCCTCCTGTACATGGACTGCCAGGGCGTCGTGGACGACTACCCGGAGGGCACACTTAGCACCTGGCCCAATGGAGCTCTAAATGGGTGCCCTTGTTGTGGGGACACTCTCAGGTACAGCAGTGGAGTGAATGGTGCGGAGATGGATTTTGATGAACTTGATTATGATAACCGTGAATCTTTGGGCCTGGGTATAGAAGCAGGGTCAGCCGAAGATCGTGCGGCTGTGATACGAAGTCCCAGCCTCCAGCCATCTTTAGACAGTGACCCAGCCTTGAGTGACCCACGTGCTAATGTCGTTTCAATTCAAAGGACAAGCACCCAAAGGGGCTACCACCAGCTGACCCCTTTGAGCCAGCCCGGCAGCTGTCGTCCGCTGAGCCGTCAGGACTCTTGCGCCCATCTAGTAGGTATGGCCTACGCACGAGGATTCCACGATGTGTCGTTTTGGTTTATGCTGTGGGCGCA